ATGTCTAGCTGCAATTTCAGCTTCACGTCTTTTAGGAGCATGTATTCACCATACTCACCTAGAAACTAACACTTCTACCAATATAGGTCAAACTGAATCAGATTGGTCAAGACTGACTCACTGAATTTTGTACATGATCTGGTGCAAACTTTTAATTTCCTTGCAGTTTTCTTTCAGCGATGACTTTCATCCGACCAATTTTTCATAATTTTCATCATTTGTGAAGTTTATTAATAATAATTTTGATTTCTACAGATTCTCCCCCACCTCCTGAGCTGTGAATCTGTGCAGCTCCTCCAGAGCTACCATCTTATTTTCAGTATGGAATTATAAAGATTTTTTTTTCATGCCATTTCTATCTTCAATATATACAAACATATGGTGCTTTCTGCACGGTGCTACGTAGTTCATTCTGGAAAAGAGAAAACACGGTTTCAAATGAAAACACGTTTTGTCTTTTTACTTGTGAACTGACGACGTCTGCATCCGTCCAGGTAAAGGGGACGTGTTCGGGGACGTCTTCTGGAAGGAGACCACGCCGGCCCGGGCCTGCGCCAACGTGCGAGCGCTGACCTACTGCGACCTGCACGTCATCAGGAGAGAAGCTCTGATGAGGGTGCTGGACTTTTACACCGCATTTGCCAACTCCTTCTCCCGCAATCTCATCCTGACCTGTAACCTACGGAAACGGGTAAAAAAAAACATGTCACAGGAAGCACTAGTTTTTTTTTTCCCAGACTGAACTTGCACTATTTATTCTACGAAGACCCTAGTAGATGTAAGATTGTTTTACTTTCTAACTTTTAGGGTAAGTTGCTCAGATGATCCGGTAACGTTACCCTGTCTAAACAACATCTCATGAATTATTCACGGATTTTTCCTTTCCGATTCGGTTCGGGTCTCTGCTTGTATGGAGGGTACTGGAACATTTTGAAACAATTCAATCATAAATACATCAAGGAGCTATTTTATAAAGAGTCAAAAGCAGACAAATAAAAATGACCTAGACTTCCTTAATTGTTATATTGAATAAAATCACAGGCGCAGTGAAGCGGCTCTGAATCCAAACAAGTAGCTGCATGTTAAAAGATTCATGACACTTTGATCGTATTATATAGATTTTATATCATATATTATTAATTCAAGGTGCTTTAAGCACTTTTTTGTTGTTGTTGTTTGCACCGGCTTAACTTTTACCCATATACTCTTTAGATGTGTGAAGTTTGCTTTCGTGAGGACAAAACCTGCTGATTCACAAGAAATAAAGGAATCCTGTAAGATGTAGCATGAAAAATAAATAGAGAAAGGAAGTGACCTGCAAATAATTTACTCAGTAAGAAAACAGTACATGGTGCTCAGTAGGAATAAGTAGCTGAAAAAATGTCTATTTCCTAAATATATACAAAACAAAATAGGTGGATTAATCTTAGACTCAATTTCTCGTCATAGCTGCATCTGTCAAAATGCATATTAATGCTCACAGATTGCCTTTGTTGACTGCTTTCATTGCTGCCCTGCAGGTGATCTTCAGGAAGATCGCTGACGTGAAGAGAGAGCAGGAGCGGCAGAGGAGTGAGGTGGCGCTCTCCATTCCCGTGGATCACCCCGTTCGCAAGTTGTTCCAGAGGTTCAGGCAGCAGAGAGACTCTCAAGCGCCAGGAGAGACGCACCCTTTCTCCGACCAAAACTGCATCCAGATGGAGCCGCAGCACCACCGTCACACCGACTCAAACTCCTGCAATCAGCAGCAGGAGCACGGCACCAAGCCGCGCTCAGAAGCAGGGAGCGGAGGCAGGAGAGGCAGCGCAACTTCTCCTCACCAAGAGTGCAATGACTCTGGAAAGGCAGAGCAGTTATGCACCCAAGTGACCATGGAGTTGAGGCCTAGTCAGAGGAGTTTAAAACCTGCACAGAGCGGTGGGACGGGTACAGGCGGAGCCAGCAGCAGAGGGGGGCGAGGGTGGGCGAGATTCAAGAGCGCCGTATCTGCTGAACCGGCGCTTCCCGCCGTTGAGCAGGAAAAGGACACACAGAAAGCGGAGGAGTGTCCGAATGCACCGCAGGCCTCAGAGGAGCCTGCTGCTTCCAAACAGAGCCGGGAATCAGAAGGCGGCGGGCAGACGGGGAGCACGGAGGGCGGCAACACGGCAGGAGACGCCGGAGAGGAAACGAGCGTCCTGCACAAAACCGACTCCTGCGACAGCGGCATCACAAAGAGTGACCTGCGCATTGACCGAGCTGGAGACTCCCGGAGCTCCTTTGAGCGGAGCCCGATGGAAAAGAGCCCACTGGACAGGAGTCCCTTCGAGCACAGCCTGGGGGTTTACACGGAGGTATCCCTGAGGCACTCCTTCCTCCAGCCGGTGTCTGAACAATCCCTGCTGCAGACGACGCTGCACGAGGCCAAGCTGGAGCTGAAAGGAGACATTAGGAAACTGAGCAGTCGGCTGTCTCTCCTCGAGTCGCAAGTGAGCGAAGTCCTCAGGTTGCTGTCGTCCAAAAGGAGACTCTCGCTGCCTCCGACTTCTTCGAAGGCGAGAATAAAAAGTCGCGACGCGGTCGCGTCTTCTAGGGTCGTGGCGCCGAAAGCAGAAGAGGAATCTTTGTGACTCGACATCTGTATATTTTTGATCGGCAACCCGCATGTTTCTGCTGGACTGGAAGGCATTTTGAACACTAAAAACGTGACTGCATGCTAACATTACTTTATGTAACCTATGCATCAAAACCCAGGGATTTTTCTCAGAATTGTATGCACTTTGTACGGCAGTGTGATGCCAAGAAGGCACAGAAACAAATTATGAACAACAACAACAACAACAAAAGTAAAAATACAGCTGATTGTTGAAACTTCTTATGCATCTTATGCAAGCGCCACATAATCTGCTCTGCAGCTTTTATGCATGTTACGGCGTTTTCTTAAAAGGATGCCCAGCAATCACTTTAGTTAAAATGGACATAATAAGAAAACATAAAAACTCCTTTCTTTTATAGAAAACAATGGTTAGTGTTTGATGGGTGGCGATGTCGCCATTTCATTTTAAGATGCTTAGTTTTGCAAATGTTGGGTGCTCAGATTTGCACGTTTACAAACCCAACCCTAAAAGACCCACCCCTCCCCAAACCGGTACAAAGGAGCACGACCTGGTTGGAGGTAATAACCAGTGGCTGGAGGGAGAAAATGCCACTTTAAATGAGTGTTTACAGTGTTGTTAGAAGGAATAATGACACCAGTGGCATGCAACAGAGAAATCATTTTCTCATATCTGGTTACTTTATTAACATAAGACGGTTTGATCTTGGCTTCAAAACAAAAAAAGAAAGTAGAACATAAGTTGATCCTAGATTAGGAAAACCATTCTCAAGATGAGACCATGACAGCCCCCGGGCCCTTTCTGTGGTCCAAAGGATTTGTTGTAAAGAAGAGTTATTTCAGGGTTGCTTTGAAGGAGCTGTGAGGAAACCATGCCAGAGACCGTTTATAATCCAGTTTTATTAAGATGTCAAAAAAAAAAAAAAAAACAAAGCACAGCATGGCTTCTTGAACTATTTACTTTACCAATGTCAATGCGCATATTTTTATCGTTCATCTGCTTGTGTCTCAGAGAAAACAGGAGCCGCTCGGACTTTTTGTTCTCTCCGTAAGATCGGAACATGCTCAACATTTGCACGCGCACAATGGATCGGTCACTTTGTCTAATGTCTCCCCAATGTCCCCTCATCCCTCACTAAAGCTACCACCCCTGGAGTCAGGTAACTGTATGTGCCTTATAAAGTAAAAGCCTCCCACAGAGGTGCACTGATCAAGGTTAAACAGCTAAGTACCTGTTAGGGTTGACCTTTATTTTTTCCCACACTAGTATCATTTAGAAGTTCTGACACAGACTAGTAGAGCATGGAAATCTAAAGGGTGAAAAACATAACAGTATATTAGAAATATTAGTGATCTACACATTTAACGACTGAAGTGTTCAACAAACGGATTTCCCCATGCACATAGAAAGGATTGCAGCATTGTAATGTATAATTTAGATATTGAAACGGAACTGTATTAAAGTCACTATTTATTCTGACATGCAACTAAATTTGCTCAGGTATGCTTATTACAGGTAGACGATTTAAATAATTGGCATTTAATTTTAGATGACTTCCGATTGAGTTAGTGTGGGCTGTGATGTCAGCATGCTGGCCGATTTGGTACATCTGTCCTACGTTAGATCTATTTAGCGACCTTGCATGCATCTGAGGGAGCCTGTCAGCTGTGAAATGAATAATGAAAACAGATTCCTGCTCACCATCTGTTGTTTAGTCTCCTATGTAGCACATCTTTATCTCGTGAAAGTTGGAAACAATTCTGAACTCTGTTTTTGCTAAAGACGAGCAGCTAAAACTCCCAGCACACCAAAAAAAATAAATAAAAATATGCATGGAAATATGAAAGGTTGTGATATGACCTAGAATATCATTTGTCACAGTTTTATTATTTATTTCAGATTGCAGATGAATAAAAATGTCTTCCTTCGTTATCTTCTGTGTAAAAGTATAATTTTCCCCGTTTTAAATGTGAAATAAAATGTGGTGGTCTGCTTTTTATTTCACACACCCAGCACATTTAAGGTTTGTTTTTATTATTTACTATTTTTGTTTTATTTTCACCGTAAAGGCTTAATTAGATATATTATTATTATTATTATTTTAAATCCCAGATAACCTTCTGTTATTTTATTTATTAAAAAAATATATAATTGGTGTATCACTCCCAGTTATGGTTATTTGTGTCAAAATCCTTTTTTGTTTATTTAAACTGGACCATCCCATCTTAAACCTCGTTTAGTCATCCAGAACAACAGGTGGCGCTATTGATCCTTTTTTCAGTCCTCCCTAGTCCGTTTTGTGTTGGTAACAAAATAACTGGAAGACGAATGAAAAAAAAAGTTATAAAGTTTTGCAAGAAACAAAGAAACTAAAAAAAAAACCATCAGGTAAACATTTTCCTCCTTTTTGTTTTTATGTTGAAGTGACTGTCTCTGCTCCTGTATTGCTGTTGGTCGCTACTACAACTTTAAAGCCGTTTCTTGCTTTGGTTTTGTTGTTGATGAGCGTCTTTTAATAAAAATGAAAACTCACCATGTAAGCTTCTGCAAAAGACCAACCCGTAATGCCTGCTCGCCCGCCGTATAATTAAGGCTTCACTCCTCTTAACTTTTTCACTTTTGGTCAACACCAAATTTTAACCCATCCTGTTTGGGTTTTAAGTGAAGCCATTGTAAAATACGCATGCTTTACATTTAATTTATTCTTTGATACAAATAGCAATAGCAAAAAGTTTAACCTGCATTTTTAAAGCTGCCCTTTGCTTCGATTACAGCTTTAGTTTTTTTCTGTGTAATGGAAATGTTTACAGATTCTTCTGGCAAAGCAGCTGAAGCTCAAACAGAATGTACAGAGTGTCCAAGTCCTAAATATACTTTCAACTGAACTAAACTCCTAAACAGGGCTTAGGAAATCTTCCAAGACAAGCCAATATTCCAAGATTTGAACCTCGTTTTAAACTTTTCAGCTGGCCTCCTTGTGTCCCTTGGTCTTCAGGATGCTGTATGTCCACTAATGTTCTCAAACCTCAAACATCTGGATTTACACCGAGATACCCTACATAAGGGTGGACTCCATCATTTGGTGATATCGTGTATTATTTTTCCTTCCTCCTGCGGTGTGAGGAGGCGTTGAACTAAACTTTTATCAGGTCCAAATGATGCTGAAACCTTGCGTGCATTTTTATGTCTTTGAGCAGTTCAGAGATGGAGCTGCAGCTTCCTCCTCACGAGGGAGTCGAGCTCTCTGTGGTCGACATGCACACAGGAGGGGAACCGCTCCGCATCGTTGTCGCCGGCTACCCAGAGGTCAGAGGTGACAGCGTGCTCTCCAAGCGCAGGTACGCCCGCGAGCACCTGGACCACCTCAGGAAGGTGCTGATGTTCGAGCCCCGGGGTCACTACGACATGTACGGGGCCTTGATCGTGGACAGCGAGACGCCCGAGGCCGACCTGGGGGTGCTGTTCATGCACAACGAGGGCTACAGCACGATGTGCGGACATGCCGTCATCGCCCTGGGACGCTTCGCCGTGGACTACAAGCTGGTGAAGGAGCCGCGCTCGCCGGAGACGCAGGTGAACATCCACTGCCCCTGTGGGCTGGTGAAGGCCTTTGTGGAGTACTCTGCTGGTAAAACAGGAGCGGTGAGGTTTCTGAGTGTGCCGGCGTTTGCCTTTGCAACAGGTGGGAGGTTTTTTTTTTAATTTTTTTTAATCTCAAATTGTGGTCAGGTGGTTTTATATTCCACAGGTCTGACTAGATGACTTTACACCAGATGTGACGGTGACGGTGGAAGGATTTGGTGAGGTGACGGTGGACATCAGCTACGGGGGAGCTTTTTATGCTTTTGTTGATGCAGAGAGGTTTGGTCTGGATGTGAAGCAGTCCAGGACTCGGGTTCTGGTGGACGCAGCAACTGCGGTGACTAGAGCCATTAAATCCCAGGTAGGAAACTTTCTCCTTTTACACTTGAAAAGGAAACTATCTAGTCAGCCACAGGAATGTTAATAGAAAGAGTGCTTTCTTTTCATGTGCATGCTATCTACAAGCTTGTCCACATACCTGTCTGTCTACATTCTCCTCCTCCTTTCTCTTCTCCTTGGTAGGTGAAACTGCACCATCCAGTTAGCGACGACCTGGCTTTCCTTTACGGCACCATCCTCACAGACGGCAGAGACCAGTTCTCGCCCGAGCCCACCGCCAACATCTGCGTGTTCGCCGAAGCTCAGGTTCAGGGTCCCTGCACAATCTGGAAAAACCAGCTTCACATCGTCCATTTTCCCTTCCACCAATCCACCTCGGTTCCCCCCCCCCTCATTCTCCATCCCTCAGTCTCTGGTTTTTGCAGATGTCATATTTTAAGCTCTCATTTCTGTACTGAGATAAAACATGCATTCTTAAACATGTAATTCGTTTCCCACCAGGTGGACCGAAGCCCTACTGGCTCAGGTGTTACAGCTCGAGTTGCTCTTCAGTACCACAAAGGTCTCATCCAGCTGAACCAGACCAGGACATTTCAGAGCGGCGCCACCGGATCCCAGTTTACAGGAAAAGCTGTTGAGGTAAGAGAAATTTTGATCTAGATACAGTTCTACGCAAAAGTATTCAGTCCCCAACAATTCCACATTTTGTCAAATTATAAGCAAAAACATCAGTTTATTCTATTAGCATTTTATGTCGTTGGTAAAAACCAATATAGTGCCTAGTCGTAAAGAGGAAAGACAATTATATGTGGTTTTGAATCAGTGTGGCAGCCATTTACATTCAAATCATTCATTTTTTAATATGTTTGTATAAAAAACATGCGTTTTGCAAAGTTTTATTTAGTATTTTTTAAATATATTATTTTTCTGTTTTCCTTTTTAGCTTTCTTTACTGGGTGCATAAAATTATTGATTAAATACAAAGTTTTACCAAATGAATAGATCTTAAACCGTGTCATGTTTAAGCAAAAGACTGTCTAGAATATTTACACTAAATCAATGCTGTAAGTGGTCTGTTGGTTCTAGATTTTTAGGTTAACATAATAAAAAAATAATAAAAAAATTAAAATAAAAGTACAAATTTATATGGTAAATTTCAGCTCTCTTTTTGTCCCCACCAAGCAAATAAAAATAAAAATAAAATAAAATTGGACGGATTCAAATGGATCTAAAATCACATTTTAGATTTTTTTTCCCCCCCTCATTTTTGGCTCTTACCGTCTTTGACTAAACGTTCACTACATGAGCAAAACTAAGCTCTCGTCATTCTTATTAAAACCACCAGTTCTGACTCTTAAGCTGAGCTTTAACCTGATTTATGAGCCGATGGCGACTTCTGTGTCGACCCCCCACAAACCTTTTCCCCGGAAGTCCGAGGTGAACTCTTGTCGTTTCCGTTTCTCTTCAGGAGACCAGATGCGGCGACTTCAGGGCAGTTGTGGTGGAAGTAGCCGGCCGAGCTTTCTACACCGGGGTTTCACGCTTCGTACAGGAGCCGCAAGACGAGCTGACCCACGGGTTTCTGCTAAAGTGAACGTTGTCGTCACTGGAAGTGAAATCCCCTTAGAAAATACAGCGAACCGACCACTAGGTGGAGCCAGAGGTCAGGTTGATATGAGCGTCAAAGATTTTGTGGTGCGAGATGTTCAGCTACAGATTTTTAACCAAAACAAAAGTTAAAGTTGAATAAAGACAGAACTCAAGCGCAATTTCTCCCATTTATTATTACTATTATTATTATTAATAATATCCGATCAAATGGAAGGCAGTATTTAAATTATAAAAGTTGAGTGGGGATGTTTTGACGCTGGATCGATTCACAGAGCTGAAATTCAAATACATAGTTACCTATACATGGGTTTTTAAATGCAGTGTAAGTCCAGCCAGTGTGCTGAAAACATACTTAATTTGTTCAAATAACGACATTAAAGTGGGGCAACTCTCATTATGGGTAGGGAAATATAGTTCAAGAATTGTTTTCTGTTCTTAAAATGGTATTTAGCATAAGAATTATACATTTCTATGTGTGTGTGTGTGCAAGCACACACCCTTATATTTGGATATATGCTGTTTATGACATGAGTGTTCACACATGTTGAGAGGCTGCAGGTTGTGAGAGTACCCCACCCAACAAAGAAAAACCAACGCAGTCAAGGCCAGCTCTTAACAGGAGAATGTTCAAATGAAACATATACACACATATATATAATAAATGCTCCCCATCAGTAATGAATAGAAAAATCCCTGCTTCTCTATTACTTTCAGTTTGTGTCCCAACAACGCAGAGTCTCAGTCCTCTGATGTTTCTGCAACAGCAGAGCATCAAGTCTGTCTGGGACACCACAGGTAGCAGAACCTGGCCGCCTTTCGATCTATGAAATCAGTCTGTACAAAATGGCCTCTCCCGGCTCCGGATGAGTCTAAAAGCTGCACGTTTCAGTTTTGTGCATAGATTCCGATGTAGAAAAGCAGCACGAAAAGGGATCTTATCAAACAACCGCAAGCATCTCCCACACCTGGAGGGAGGCTGTTCTCCAGCTTTGTCTGAACAAGCTGATCTGATTTGGTCAACGTTTAATCAGTGTTTGGTTTCCGCCCCCTCTCTTATGGCAATCTAACAGAATAAGATAAAAAAAAAAAAACAAGTTACTGAATGTGTTGTGTAGTGCATGGCTCTGCAACGAGGTCATGATTTATTCAAGCCTATCTGGGTGGAGGTGGATGAAGGTGAGGAGGAATGCGGAGGTCAGTTTCACCCAGTGGGAAACCGATGGTGAAGAAGAAAACGACGAGCGAGCGGGGACGGACGTTTTAGATGTTGAGCTTCGTGACCGGCCGCTCCCTGCTTGAGTCCGTGCTCTGGTTGTTGATCCGTTTGCGGTTGCGTTTCATCTTGGACAGGTCCTTGTCAAACACTTCGCCCGATCGCAACGCAGACACCAGGTCGTCAAACTCGCCGCCGTCGTCCTCGCCGTTTGCTTTCGCCTTCCGGGCCTTGCGTTCTTTCTCCCTCTGCTCTTTCAGCTGGTGACACGCAGGAACAAGCAGCTCATTTATAAATCTCTCCAAGTGGATTCTCATTAACTTACAAGAGACTGAATCATTTCCAGCACAGCACTGCTTTAGATCTAATAAAGTGTTGGTTTTCCTGCGCATAAAACCTGTAGAACAGTTTCATTTGTTTTCATTCATCTGCTGAACCTAAATTAGCAACAGCTGACTCGAACAGGTTTCTTCCTTCCTCTCTTCCTTCAATTATTACATTGCTGCCAATGTATCCGTTTAAGCACAGCAATTTGGCAACTTGGTTTTCTCTTAATTATGTTCGTCTGGGGCTTTTAAAGATTTTAAACAGAGTCTTGCAGATAAGAGAAAATGTACAAAAATGAAAACTTGTGCACCTGGTTGTTGAACTTTTCACCCTTGAAAAAAATCGAAAATTGTCATAAAAGTACAAGTGTGCATTTAGACTTCCGAGTGAAAGTGTAAATGGTTCATAAATGCCCCTAAACCAAAACTTTGCCGTCAACAACGTCACACACCTGAGCTTCCATTTTGGCCCTGCGCTCCTCCTCTTCCTTGCGTTTCCTTATGTTCTCGTTTTCCTGCTGAGCCTCCGTGAACGACTGCAGGAACTGGTCGAAGATGCCAAAGAACTCATCTGGCTGCATCTTGCTGGCATCCTCCCCAAAGTGCTTCACTGCCCTCAGGAACTGCAGGACCAAAGCGAAGAGGAACACAGAGAGGGGCACAGGGGATTAGATTTACTGCCGCAGTCAGCAGAAGCACGTCTTCCTCTGTCTTCTACCGTTTTACAGGAGACTCGTTAAGCTTTCGGCTCCTTTGAAATCGGAGCAGGGCAGCAGAAGTCGGGAGCTTTGAAGCCCAAGTTAAGCTTAGATATGACTGGCTACTGATTAGAGCAGAGGTCGGGGGGCTGGAGCCAGAGCCCCAAATTAAGGCAATGTGTTTGTTGGGTGTTTTGAGCAGCTAGTTAAAAAGGAGAGCGTCCGGATGTGAGGTCACGCTGAGAATATATACCTTTAAAAATGAGATGTTTACAGCAGCTCCGACAGGAAAACCATAAGGTAGATCAAAGATGCTTTTAAAGGATTTTAAAGAAGTCACCTCATCACTTTGGTCGTCTTTCTAACATCTTATGGAAATAAATAAGAAAATGCAGCATATGGATATTTTAAATGCACTTTTATGTACAAAACTTATATAAATCCAATGGTCTGATGTCATAATCTCAGATAAAAAGGGAAAAACATGCTCAGGCTTTAAGCAGTAATAATCAACCCAATAAACTAAAGCTTCTTCTGTGTTATTCAACACTGGCGCTTTACTTTAAGGAAGAAAAAGCATCCGTGAAATATCGTGTTTATGCAGCTGGCAGGTGTAATCCCACAGCGTGAAATGATCCTAGACTTGTGCTCCTGTTTCTTGGACCCAATAAAACGCGCGAGGGGTCCTGCAGCAGGAAGCCGAGACGCTTCCCCCCCCACCCCCTGCTGTTCGCTTTCCTACAGAGGTGACTGATGGGGGTCAACGAGACGTGTAGAAACAGCTGCGCCGAGAGGGAACCAGAAGAGAGCTTTCAGCGCCCGTGTCTTGGAGTGACAGTGATGCGCTCCTGTCAGCTCACATGTGGTTTCCTCCAGAAATCAACCCTTTCGGATCGACTCACCAGTTCTTTGGCTTCGGCGAGAGAGTCCTCCACGTCGGAGAAGCTGAAGCTGGCCACCGTGATGAACTGGCTCACCACTGACACAAATTTGTCACCTACTTCCTGCGGGCGATCCTTCTGGAAGTCCAGCTCCTGTAATTGTAAAATAAAAAAAATAATTATCAAAAGAAGAAAATGTAAATTGAGCAACATTTTAAAAGGCTGAGAATGTGTTATTTTTAAAAGTGTAATTGCTGTAATAGTAACATGAATGTTTGACTCACACTCTCAACACTTTTTAAGCCACTGCGCAGGTTGCCAATGTCTTTTTCCAGCTCTGTCATGCTGGAATAAAACAGAGAAAGTGGATAATTGCCTACAGAGAGGAGTAATCATCCTTAAAACCAGTTTAATAGCAGACTGTGAAGATTGGGTGCTTCCTTAACTATATCCTTAATAGGAAAAAGAAATCGAAAGGTATTAGCTTTGAAACCTAACGGATGAGGACCATACCCAGAGATTTAAATGATCTCAGTGACAAAAGTGGAAAAAAAAAAAAAAAATCTCACATTTCTCTATATGCATAAATGGCATCATTTATGCTTTGTTTTTAAACTGTTACTTTGTCACGAAAGCACGTTAAATTAGTGATCCGTGCAGTAAAACATAATGACAGCGAATGGAGGCAGTTGAAAGTCTTAGTTTTCCACACAATCACTGTGTGTTTTACTTGTAATGGTTAAAGAGCACCACAATGATGTAGCTGTCTAAAGATGACTCAAGAATGCAACTCAAACTCTGCATCCGCCTAATAAAACATAAAAAAAATCAGAGTGGCGTGGCGGTAGGATGGAAGACTTTAGTCCTTGATGAAACTATCCAGAGTTCATCAGTAACCCAAAAAAATAACATAGTTTTATGAACAATTTAGCCAAAAGAAAATAAAATATGTATTTTTTTTTACATACTTGACTTTAGCTGCCTCAGAGACACTCTGCAGATCATCCTGGAACTTGAGGACTTTGGGGTATTTCTTCTCTAGGATGGTGATCAGGTAGTGCAGCAGAGTTATATTCCTGAGTTAAAGAGGCACAAAGGAGTGAGTAAGTGTGCTGTATTTGATTAATGGAGCTTCACCAGAAAAATAAAACATTCCCAGTTCCTTATCATACTTGGATATAGTCAGTGGTACTGCTGACAAACTTACTTGTCAATACTGGACTTGGTATCGGCGATCTTGTTGAGCGAAGACACTTTAAAGCCGTAAGCGTTCCCTCGCTGACCCTTGTTCATGTAGTTTCCAAAAGCAAGCACCACCTCCAACAGCTGCTTCAGGTTTCTACTGTGTAATATCTCCTTGGAAGCCTTAGTGAGAGCTAAAGCAAAGAAATGGGACGCTTGCGTCAAAATGACAGGAGTGTGGATTAATAAAATAAAACAAATCCAGACATTTTTACTGTCAACCCTGGGAAAAATATGGAAAAAGCCTAAAACAGATCCTAGTTTTTATTGAAGTATTACGATCCCACCCTGAAAAAAGATCCCACCGTTATATTGAGCACATTTATTTTCTCCAGCTGTTAACACTTTATACAATCCCATTTGCAAATAGGATAGCACCTGGTCCTCTATAACATTTCACAAGGTTGAATCTTACAGAGACAGGGGATTTCTGTTTAGGAGAGACAGTCCAGACTCGTGGGCCCTTTCTGATGCCGTTTCTTGTCCTACTTCAGTTTGGGGGACTGAGATGGCCACAGAATTAAGTAAGATTTTGTTTCTGGTGAGCAATTTTTGTGTCAATTTGGCCACATTTTAATCCAGAAAACCCCCACCACGGCCTTTCTTATGTTTTGTTTGGCAGAGGCCACCAGATTTTCATACTCCACTCACCCTGGTATTTCATAGAGTCGATGATGGGATGCACGCTAACAACATTCCAATAATCTGAATGTTGTTGACCAACATTCAAATGCTGTGGGCCTTTGAAAGAGAAAGAGGCCCACAGCATCACTCATCCTTCACTCGACTTACTATTTTATCCCTTAGAGATTACACGTACACTTCATAGTAGTTGCAGATTTACAACTACCACTAGAGGGGCCTCAGGGCAGAATATTGGTGGGTTGACTTTATTTCTTTTAATCACAAGCTATATCGAACACATATACAGAATGCCTTAAAAATAAATAATAAAAAAAAACATCTGAAAAGGGGCTTAGTCTTATCTTACTGATGTACACAGTTCCAGTTACAGTCCCAGTGCAAGACAACCCAGGTGTTTTTCTTGCATCACTCCCAACCAACTTTTTATTTTAAGCTTGTGCTGCTGCAATAAGAGATTAATTCATTTTAAAAGGCACTTCTTTACCAGGGATGCCAATCAGTATGACCGAGTGAAGTTAAATCTCATTCTACGGATTTGCTCACCTTCAATTTTGGGTTTGATCTCAGCTATCCTCTCTGCAAACTTCTTCTTGAAGTACAACGACTGAAGCCTCTGCTGGTAGTGGTTTATTCTGAAAGGAAGACGAAGAGCAGGCGAAATTAAATATGAATAGGGAAATAAATAGATTTACTGAAAAGCCACAAAACAGACCCTTCATAAAACCAAAACTATTCATCTCACTTAATGACATAAGATTTGTGGTGGTGGAAGTATTTTTGGCAGGGTTCGTAAGAGCAATAAACTACAGAATCCGAAGCTTATGACAACCACAGTGACATGCGTAGTTCTTTCAAGACTCTATGAAAAGTTGACAGATTCTTAAAATAAAACCTCAAAACTTTACATTTTAGCAATCCTTTTTAGCCTTTTTAAATATCTGTTAGAAAAAAAACCCATATATATTCTGCAGCTATTACATGTTATAACATATGTTCTTTTTTTTGGTTTAGTTTTTTTTTTTTTTTACAGCTTACATAACTCTGATTGCAAATTAGGAATGAAAATACTCTTACTACATT